AATTCAATGGACCATTCATCATGTCCGGTGAGATGCCGTTGGTGGTGTGACGCTGCTGCAGTGCATGCAGGAACAATGTACCGCCGTTGGTGGTCAGACTATCAAAACTAGAAATTCTTTATGAGGCACAACAAAAGCACCAGTTCATCAACCTAGACGACAATATTAGTAAAAGCTGTCTTTTTTCTAGAAAACAATGCTTGTTCGCCTTGAATATAAGAATTTAATCACTGCTCCTATTAAGAAGCGAGACAAGCGTCCAAGCCCACTTATTTGCTTCCTCACCATCCACCCAGGAGTGTTCTAAAAAAACAATTACACGCCAGGGAAGCTCAATTCAGGCAAAAGAAGCCAAGGAAACGCACGGCCACCAGATACAGCAAGAGAAGCAAGGGAACCGAAGCGCGGAGTTAGCCATCTCTGCAGTACTCCCTCCGTGTATTTCTTTACGGAGGGAGTACTTACCAGTGCTTATTCTCAATCCACCATTCATTTCCTTTGTTCACGCCATATATCTACCATAGCCACTCACTAGTCTTATTATCTATATATACCGATACAATGCCCGTGCATTGCCACAAGCCAAAAAAGTTATATATCAATGATTGTATTGTTATAAATATCGCCCCTTCTAATATATATTTTCTCGTCCCATATATAAACACACTGCAGCGACAGGTTCAACATGCATAAGAAAAGACAATGAGATAAAATTCTGCAATTAATGAAAATGCACTTCGTTTAAAGTGTATATATCTTTGTAGACTAAGGCATAGCCTAGTGGTGGAAAGAGGCTAATATCTTTCCACCCACCCAGGTTCAAGGTACGGTACTTGCAATTTGGATTTGTTACACCAACTATATTGCAGGGGCCTCCCTTACAGTCTTTCTATCAAAAAAGTGTATATATCTCATTGAGTTTTCAAACTCTCCCAACAACAATGGCTTAGGGTTAAGTGGGTTTATTATGAATGGCTCGCAAATGTAAGAGATAAATTGTATAATATTATCAAATACAAGACATATAAAATGAAAAGGGACAATTATACATATGTTGTAAAAATGACAAGTCACCTTCTCAGCCCGAGCTCAAATGAGCTCTAGTGAACAATAAAATCAAAAAATAAAGAATAAAAATATGAATTGTTTTTGACAAACATTGATAAATGTTCTAAGAGCTTGCAAAATTTCATCATGGAATTACATTCCTAGAAGTTTTGCCAAATAAAACTAAATCGATATTCTGAAAATGCTACTTGATTTTGTTCTAATTTTTCCACGACTCCCACAAATGTGATTCCATGATGAAATTTTGCAAGATCTTACTCGATGTTTGTCACAAAAAAGAATTCAATTTTTTTAAATCTTTTTTGATTTTACTGTTCACCCAAGCTCATTTGAGCTTAGGCTGAGAAACTCCATTTGCATAAAAATGGGTGTATTTTCGGTCCCATCCAGCTATGGCTGCAAATAGTCGAGCTCGAACTTGTTAGCATTAGCTTAGCTCGGCTCATAAATTCGAGCAAGCTCAAACACAGGGAAGTTCCAAGTCGAGTCGTACAAAATGGCTTGTACTCAGCTTATAATGACCTTGAGCTAATTTTGAGCTAAATAAGATGATAAAAATCCTATAATCTAAGACCATTTGTCCAACTACATAGACCACACCAACGCAAGGAAACACAAGAAGGTACGTTTGTCCATAAATAATAGGGTACTTAGCACACGACTAACCACATATTAACACACACGTATAGCTAAATGAATTACAAAATTCCTGTAATTTGATGCTCCTTTGGGCAACAAATACATTAACTGAAAGGTGAAGCAGAAGTATAAATTACTAACCATTACTAATGACCCATCTACACAATTGAGAGATTCTATATGTAGTGTTAGTATTATGCATATGAGAATATCACAAAGATGGACGTGTGCTTTCCTGCTCTGATCCTTGACCATGAGCTGAAGTGTTATAATTTGCTTATTGTTCCTTGGTCCTGCATGCATGGAACCAAACATTACTCATAATCCTTTTTACACAACTAAACAAAAATTAGACCAACGGGGGAGGAGCCCTGTGACATTATTAGTAAGAAAGAAGGTGTGGGACATCAAGTTTTAGATCTGTGAAATAAATTCCGCCCGTAGGACTGCGGTGCGTGCTCTTGCCACTGGGCTAGATGCCCATCCATTTTACGCGATTAAACTAAACATTGAAAAAAAAGTCTAAACAACTTCACAAATAAAATGACATGTTTAATGAAACAAATTCAGTGAAATAAGTGTTCATGTTGGCGAACATATCAATATAAAATGGAAAGTATCAATCAACTTTCACAAGTGCCGTGTACCCTAAACTCTAAACCCTCGTTGGCGAAGTCGTCCCACCACATACCCCTCACTCCGGAGCCCCGTGTACGAAGCAACACCGTCAGGAAGGGGTGCGACGACAACGACGCTGTTGCCCAGACATGTCCTAGGGTTTTCCCTGGCACGTGGATAAAGAAGGTGAAAGTGGTCACCGGGTGCCCTCCAAGGAGGAGTTGCGGCACCCGCAGGCGTCACCGCATTGGAGTTAGACGAGCCAACAAGGATTTCTCCCACCCCCAAAACACCACTTCCAACTGCTCTGGAGTCTTCCAGCCAGCACGCCACCCGCTTGCTTGCGCCACCACGGTTTTGATGCCACCCACATCGTCTCACCGTGGCCCCCATCACGAGACCTAGAGGACGGAAGATGAAAACGCAGGGAGCCGGGGCCAGCAGCACCACGGCCGAGCAGGAGGGAACAACCTCCACCGCCGTCGCACGAGACGCCAGTGCCTCCAGTGCCATTGCGGTAGCTGGTCGGACGCAATAGTAGGAGGCAAACCAGGCCACCCGGGCCCGACCGGGCTCAGATCGAGCCCACCAAGGCCCAATCGGACTCAGATCGAGCCAGTGAAGTCTCCACCGCCATGCTGCTGCAAGCGACGACTGCGCCGCCAACACCCAGGTTCTCGCTGCCCCACCGCCACCTCTAGGAAGCTACGCCGCAAACCGGAGACACCGGCCCGCCCCACCCAGATGGGGCCCGAAGGGGCCCAGATCTGGCACGAGCAGGCGCCGCCAGCCCGCACCACCGTGGAGCCCCGTCGCCAACCGCCGCGCCTCACACCACTGACCACGACGCCAGCGATGAGCCACCCCGCCGCCGCGCCGCACCACCGCCACCTGAATGTACCAACCGGAGCAATGTGCCCCCTGCAAGAGCCGCCATGGGAGGGAAAAGCTGCGGGCCGCCGCCGGCAGCGCTGCCCGGGCCGATCCCGGCGACGTAAGCCGGCGACGGCGGGGAGCAGGAGGCTTGGGGAGGACGTTGGGGAAGAGGGACGAGGGGCGCGGCCGGCCGCCCTCGGGGGAGGGGGTGGGGAGGGGGCGGACGCGGTCGCGGTCGCGAGAGGGCGAGGAAGAAATTTGGCCAGCGTACCACATTTTTTTAGGTATGTAAGAATTCCATAAAATGGTTTTTATGAAGAAAAAAACCACCATAATAAACGCCTTCTTTGTTTTTCCTTTCATTTTTGCACTTTTTTTTTCTAATATATGGTGAACATTTTTAAAGACACAATTGAATATTTATTTAGTAGGCGGTGAACTTTTTTAAATATACAATGAACACATTGAACATTTATTTATTATATGGGAAATTTATTTATATACCGTAGTTGTTATCATGTATGGTGACCTTTTTTCTATTGTACTGTGATTTTTTTTATATAGGCTAAACATTTTCTGTACTGAAGAATTTTAATTCTTTCTATATTGGTTTTACATTTTTTTAGCTATGTAACAATTTCATAAAATGGTTTTTAGGGAAAAAAAACACACCATAAAAATAGCATAGAAGAAAACAAAGAAAAACGCTAAAAATCGCCATACAAAACGCGTAGAAGAAAAATAAAGAAAACCTCCTATGTTGAAGACAACGACTAGGCATGAAGATAAAAGCAAGTCATCCAAAATAAAATGAGCAGCAGTTTACTTCACCAAATTTCTCTCTATCTACATCTGTACACTATATATCTAGCTATGCATTGTACTCTCTTAAGTGAGTGTCTACTCCATTCTACTTTGCTAAATTATTGACTGTATTGTTCTCAAGATATTTGACAACATAAAATGAACTACCAACCACAAACACAACAACCAACAAATGAAGTTACGCCTTAGCCAATGGACGGGCCTATGCACGGGCGCAGCGTACCGCCACACCTCCGCCTTGTTAGTTAAAAACAATTGTGCGGCAAAGGTCCCCTTTACCCAGTAATATACTCAATATCTTTGGCGTCTGTCACCACCAACTTCAGCAGGTGGTATACTGAGCTTATAATACGTAAACTTGGCAAAGCTTTCTTGCAGTTAAAAGAAGTAAATAGAATTGTTTACCCCAAACGGCTGTGCCATGTGACTCTTAGTTGCCCAGTTCCATTTCGTGAGCTCTCGGCGCGACACGTATTGGCTGTGTTTTCGTTTTGCCGAGTATTATTTTGACAGATCTCAGCGAACTGTACTCTCTACCGAATACGCAATATTGCCGGGTATGGTTCTTGGTAAAGGCTGGTGTGGCGAGAGCCCATGAAAGGGAATACCACAAAGGACAGTGCACTCAGGATGCGTTCCAAACTGGTTTTTACAAAAGCAAAAGGGATACATGAGTATACCATGTGCTCTGCTAGAGAAAATCGGTGGGAATGTAGAAATTCGACGCTTATACTTGCAATGTACTTTGGGTACCAAAGTAAATATTTCTTGCTTGTACAAATCGTCTCACCAAAACAAGTCATAATATGTACGAACGAGAGCACTAATCGCCTCAACGAAACAACTTCAGATACATCCTATAAATTGATGCTTCCGAGTGTGCATAGGCACCAACATCGACTTGCTTGTCTGCACAGCCGCAGGAGCCAAACATCAACAACCATAGCCACTTAGCCACCACCAACACCAAAGCCATGGCGTCCTCTCACATCCTCCTCCTTGCCGCGATCCTCCTGGCCCTGGCTTCTGCCCAGGCAAGTGGCCAAAGCATGCCGCCTTCACCGGCAACAGCCGCTCGTGGTGGCAATTGCACGTTGAATGGCGCAGTCACGCTTGGAGTGTGTCTTAAACTTCAACAGGGTAGGACAAGCACGGCCGACGAGAACCAGTGCTGCCATCGGATCCAGGGGATGCAGACCGACTGTCTGTGCTTGGCCTTCCACCTGGGTAGTGGCCTTATCGGCGGCATTCCCGATGGCGTCAATTCCGTGCTCGGCGTCTGTGGCATGGCCCGCATCCCCAACTTGGTTTGCCTGGTGGCCTCTGGAACGGTCTGATCGGCCCCAGCCTCGCTGGTGGGCTCAACGAGTGTTGGCTGCAGGCAGGCTCACACTCTGACAGGTGTATCAGCGCACCTACATCACCAATAAAATATAAATGCTGCCTAAATAATCTGCCATACTAGCCATATGTATGGGTTTCAACCGGACCTAATATGTATGCATACTGGTTTTCAAAATAAATAAGAATCTGCGATCTACTTACCTTACTTGTCGTGTGGGCCCATCTGACGACCAGTGAGTATTTATAGCATCTACAACCGCAAACATCAAAATCTGCCCCCCCAAACGCATGCGATTGCGCCCGGGCACATACACGAGCAGTGATCGACAACACACACAAAATTGATTCAACAACCACAAACAACATTTTCAAATCATCAATTCCATATTATTAGATGCAACATAAAACTAATTGGGCATAACGCGTTTGGCTCCGCCCTATCCATGACCCGTGGATGGCGGTGCCCCTCGAAGAGTTGGTGCACTCGCGAGGTAGAGCAGGACATGGAACACACACCGGCTCACGGGACTCGATTCCCCGCCACATCTCCCTTGTCCTACTCTTCATCCTAGGAGCTTGTCGTTGGTGCATGTGATGTCAATGATGGATTTGTCGCGGTCAGAGCCGATGACATAGACCACGATGCGGTTATGCCACCTGGGGTTGGTGGGCACATACACAACACTGGAGAGTGCGACTCCACGTTGCTAACGTCCACCGCAAGGGCTGCCGCGACCTCTTGTGCCCGGTGCCTCGCCTTGCGGGGATGCCGCGCCATATTTGCGTAGTTCGACTCGCATGCGTTCACTTCTACCTCAGATGAAGATTACACGGAGTCTCTCACAAGAGAGCAAACATGAGGCCACTGTTGAGGCAAAGTTGCCAGTGGAACGTGTCTTGACTTCCCTATGTTTTTACTATTTCTTGCAGATCCGTTAATTATTTTGACCGTGCACTCAGAAAGCAAGATTTGTCCAGTAGTGTAGCGTTCCAAGTTTGCTTCTTACAAAAGCAAAATGGATACATGAGTATACCATGTGCTCTATTAGAGAAAATCGGTGAGATGTTGAAATTTTACACTATATATCTAGCTATGCATTGTACTCTCTTAAGCGAGTGTCTACTCCATTCTACTTTCCAAATTATGTACTGTGTTGTTCTCAAGATATTTGACAAAATAAAATGAACTACCAACAACAAACACAACAACCAACAAATGAAGTTACACCTTAGCCAATGGACGGGCCTATGCACGGGCGCAACATACCGCCACACCTCCGCCCTGTTAGTTAAAAACAATTGTGGGAGCTTTTGCCTAGTGCTGAAGTCGGCAAAGGTACACTTTACCCAGTAATATACTCAATATCTTTGGCGTCTGTCACCACCAACTTCAGCAGGTGGTATATTGAGCTTATAATACGTAAACTTGGCACTTTCTTGCAGTGAAAAAAAGTAAATAGAATTGCCTTCGTGGTAATACCTACCCATCTGACGGTGACAAGTTTTTTTTTCAAGGAAGTGAAGATCGGAATACATCTTCGTCTGCGTGGTGTTTGGTTATTCCTAACCTTAGATCATTTACTTGTGGTTTATTTTGCTCACCGTAGTATTGTTTTGGCCTATGCTTTATATTACACATCTTGATCCTTTCACTATCCCTATTTCCCCCACCACCCCAATTCCTCTTTTTTGTAGTGTCGATCTCTACTCCTAACTTGGTGGCTCCTTCCTTCTCTTGATACCCTGGCTTATAATCTTAATTTCCAGCGACATCTACGCAGTCTTCATCAGAGTCATAGCTAGTCAAAAGATCAACAATCAAATAATTACAATCACAAAAGGTTGTCA